ATGATCACCCACTCAGATGAATTCTCAGACTGTCCCAACATACCCAGGTTTTGACCCCCGCTAAAGATCTCACTGATTGGCATATCAAAGACAGCCCAATCCGACACCTAGTGCAGTATCATAATCAAGTCTAGGGGTCAGGTGTAACTTTCTAGTTTTGCCCATCAATCTCCAAGGTCTAGGGTAATACTGAAAATCTGGTCCGGTTCAAGGATTCAAGTAATCCTACATTGCATGTGCCTTGGGTCTCACCCTAGCGGCTGAGACAAGCCACCCCAACACTTAGCAGCACACCAGTGTCAGCCTTGGCAGATAAATCCCCCTAGACTTATCCAACGGCTATGAAGGTTTTAAACTAACACGAGTCTCATTAAGTGTCCAGTTTAAGGGTCTTATACAGAAACATACCACAGAACATGAATCAAACATGTACTTTATTTATTTATACTAAATATCAAAAGTATATCAAACTGATTGGAGCTAAGGGCATACAAAACTGTCTAACACTTAAAACGTTATTTTAAATGTTGAGCCGGCTTTGACTATAATTCCCCCCCCAAGGAAAAAAAAGTAATAGAAATACAAGTTCATATCGGCACATCACCCCATTCCCATTGCACGTTCATATGTGTATGTGGGGTGCTGATGTGGTCTCTAGAAACACGTAAGCATAGAGAATTTTTTATAGCTTTTTTTAAATAATTAATAATTATTTATGTGTTATATACTACTTTTAATAACATTTTTATAATACAAAAATAGCAACAATTAAACAACTAAATCAATAGTCTAATCTCTAATAAATAACAATAGTTTAATTTTCAAGAATTATTGAAAATTTATAGTAAAGTAAAAATCCACAATTATTGAAAATAATTTTCTAATGAAAATACAGTAGTTATGAAAATACAATAAATACTAAAAGTACATTAAATTAATTAATAAATAGTGTAATCTCCAATAATAGTTTAATCTCTAATAAATATTAATCAATAAATTACAACAAAATAAATAATTACTGAAAATATAATTATAAAAAACAATAAATATAATAGGTACAATAAATGAAATTTCAAAATTTTAACCCCCAATAGTTATTGGAAACTTACTATTAAATAACAAAACAAAAATAGGTTTATACATAATTATTT